GGAAACTGAGGCTCAGAAAAAAATACATGCCCCCGCACACAGTCTCACAACTAGTAAGTGTCAGATCTGATATCTGCCCCCTCCCCATCCACTTCCACCCTCCACCTCCACTGGCTGCACCTACCACGTGGTCTTAGCTGCACTTCAGCAGGTCCATTGTCTCCAGACCCCACAGACCTCATCAGCAGTCTCTAATGATTACAATCTTCCCCCACTTCCCTGGGAGAGCCCGGGACAGAGCCATCCTTGAGTAGCCTTGCAAGATGATTCCCCTCCAGCCAAGACTAGCCCCAAACCAAAGGTCTCCACATCATGGGAACCCACCGCTTCCCAACCTTGCCCAATGACTCTCCAACTCAGCCTCCCCCTCATCCCTGATCCACATCTCTCCAGGTGAGAATGTCATTTGATATGATGGGCAATACAATATGCCCATCTGTGGCCCCCTCCCTTCACAGCCTCTTCCTCCCCTCTTTCACCACACATTTCCCCAGGGAAGCTTCCCCTGACTGAGGCCAACCCTCTCTGCATCTCCTCTGTCCCTGTGAGACCCTACCCTTAGGATCACAGATTTGGAGCTGGAAGGGACCTTAGGTGGTCTATTTGAATCCCCTCATTTCACAATGAGGAAACTGAGGCTGAGAGAAATTACCTGAACCATTCAAGGTCACAGAAGTAGGTAATGACAAAACCAAGAGTCCAACCCAGATCCACTGACCCTAAACCCTGAGTTCATTCTACTGCACCACATTTCCTTCCTAATCTGCACTTGGTTGAGATACTGTTGTGTAAACATATTGTAGAAACGCTGTATAGACATATATGTAGAAACAATGGTAGCTATCTCTGGTCAGGAAAGAGGAACAAGTCAAATGTTGAATCCCTCCTAGAAACTGTCGTTCCTTCTCCGGAACCTCAAAAATGCCAACCAGCTCTCTGGGCATGGCATCCCTTCCCCTCTGTATTCCTCTCTGTCTTCCAGCGTCGCCATTGGATGCTTCCTTTTCCATTTACACATACAACCAGAAGTGGGGCTTAAGTGAGTTTACCCTACATTAGAAAGAGGGTAGATAAAAGAAAAAACTTGCAGATAATCCCAGAAACACCAAGTGCTGGGCTCTGGCCCAGAGAATCTTTTCCTAAAATCTTGCATTAGCCAATCTTGCAGACTGGAACATGCTGTCCAAAATCTAACTCCAGCAGAGGACGTGAGGCTGGCATCTCTGAACGGGAGGAGCCATCAGCAGGCAGGCGCCAAAGGAAGGAACCCTCCTAAGGAAAGGGTGTGGTCCATCTCCAAGACAGTAAACAGGATACTAACCAGGTCAATCGAGAGTTCAACAGCAACCAAATAATAATAGCCCACATTCATATAGTTTTTTTTTTAAGCCAGTCTTATGATATCATTGATGTAGGGAGCTCCAAGGAATGAACTCCCCCTACTAATGCAGGTCAGCACCTTTTCTGCTACAAATAGCTAGAGAGTCACCTGGGGCACAGAGAGGTTAAGTAATTTGACCAGGGTCACACAGCCCCAGGATTGTCAGAGGTAGGGCGTGAATCCAGGTCCCCTTGATACTCAAGGCGATCTCTGTCCGAAGTGCTACCTTGCCTCTCATATAGCCTTTAAAGTTTATTATGAAACACTTTTCTGGAGCAACATAGGATAGCAGTAAGGGAACTAGATTTGATGTTAGAAAACTTAGATTTGAGTCCTGACACTGAAACTTATCAACTTTGTAAATTTCAACAAGTCACTTCTCCTCTCTGAGGCTCTCTGTAAAAGGCTCCATTATCTCTAAGGTACTTTCCGGGTCTAAGTCCTATGAACATAGGCAGACGGTGTGAATATTATCAATCCCATTTTAAAGATGAGGAAATTAGGGGTTCAGGCTACAGAAGGCTAAGAGATAATCCCTAGTCCAGTCTTGTGAGTAATCCTTGCTCCTGAGGGAAGGGGGGCAGAGGGCCTCTTGAGTTCAGGAGTTCTGAGTTACAACTGGGCTAAAGCCTAGTGGGTGTTCACACTAAGTCTGGCACGAATATGGTGAACCCTCAGCAGGAAAGATCACCAGGATCCCTGAGGAGTGAGCCAACTGGGATAAAATCTTCCATATCAATTAGCACTAGGTTCGAGCCCATCATTAGCCACACTTGCAGCCTGGGCAAGGGAGGGAGACCCAGGCTAGGGAAGACAAGGAAAGGAGAGAAGGAAAGGGAAAGGAAGACAAGAGAAGGGAAGGAAGAAGGAAGAGGAGAAGGGGAAAGAAAGGGGAAAAGGAAAAGAAATTTATCCCTATACAAGTCTAAGAACCAGTCACCTCAATTCTACCCCAATTCCACCCCCATATCACCACCCCCAGCAGCACCTAGCCACACCATAGCAAATCCATTGTCGCTAGTCCCCAGAAGACCCCATCAGTGGTGCCTCATGACTTCATTCTGTCCCTCTCTCTCCCATGCTCATATAGCTGGTCAAGTGTAGGAACTAGAATCCAAAGGGCTATGTCAGAGGCAGAAAGAGAAGTTTACAACAATGGTCCAAGGTCAAGGAAGTTAGCAGCTAATCAGAGAGAACCCCACTACCAAGAATAACAACAGACCTTGGGAGATAAGATGCTATCTCAAAGCTTCTCTGCCCAAGATGAGCTTCTCTTGCAATAGTAGCATGCCGGGCATCACCCCTCACTGCCCCTCTCACGTAGGCATTCCTGTCTATCCAGACGTAAGCTTAGATGGCCAGAGTTAATACTTCTCTCATGCCCAGAGTCTCAAGCCTTAGGTCCATAGAGAATGGCAGGGATCTTGAATTGACGGTCAGCCAGCCTAAATTATCCTATCTTAACTCTTTGCATACCTCCAGGAATCTTTGCCATGTCTCTGGTTCTAAGTGCCAGTTTCTAGGGAAAGAATTTAGAGAAGGCAGCATGGTACATGGATTCTAATCTGCCCTCTGAGGCTTACTAGCTGTAACCTTAGGCAAGTGACTTAACCTCTCTGAATTTCACTTTACTTCTCAGTAAAATAAAGGGTGTTGAACTAACTGGCCTCCAAAGTCCCTCTGAGCTCTAGATCTCTGTTCCCCGACTTCTAGTAGCCATGAAACTGCTTCATGAGCAATGTTTCCCCGGGAACCTCCAACAGTGTATACTTGTCCCACAGTGACAGCTGGACATCACATGCTGTCCCACAATGGGGTTGGCAATACATACATAATGCTTATGCATTCTCTAGTAATACAATCATATGGCAAAAGGAACATGTGATTTCTGTCCCCAGTCATAAGGGAAAGGCAGTTTCTTTGGAGGGTGTGAAGAGACGCGCTTGTCCAAATGATTGTGTGGGAGCAGGGGGTGTGGAGCCTTGTTCAGGTTACAGAATAATGAGGTAAGGGCTTGACTTCCAACCACGGAGCCTAGAAGTTGGGGAGAAAGACTTCATAATAGTGAACCACATTTTCATAGAACTCTAAGATTTACCAATCAATCAACAAACATTCATTAAGCACCTATGTACCAACAACTGTGTTAGGTCCTGGGGATACAAGCACAAAGACACGCCAGGAAGCCAGATATGCTTCAGAGGAAGGGAAGTATGAAACCAGGTGGGAGGAAGGAAGGAAAGTTAGGGGAAAAGCATTTATTAAGTACCTACTATGTGCCAGGCACTTCACAAATATCTCATTTGATGGTCACAACAACCCTGGGAGATAGGTATTATTATTATTCCTACTTTATCGCTAAGGAAACCGAGACAAAGAGAGGTTAAGTGACTTACCCAGGACACAGCTAGTAAGTATCTGAGGTCAAATTTGAACTCAGGTCTTCCAGGTGTGAGGACCAGGCCACCTAGCTCCCTAGGGGGAGAGATGAGTTAGATAGAATGCAGCCTTATGAACCTTAGCAGCACCTAAAATAGGGATGCCTTGGTATAAGATTCCTATGCTCTGTAACTCATAAATTCTGTGAGATTGCATTTTCCTCTTTTTGCTTTCACTACTGGAAAAGTTTTCTATTGAAAACTATACCTCTGTCTCAAGAGCAAAGAAAAGGAAATCCGAGCTTAGGCCAAGAGCTTCTAAGGCAATGACAATACCCAGGAAATAAGAAAAACATAGACAGTCCCACTTCATGTCCTCTCTCCTGATGAAGCCGTGTTTGTCGTGTTCTGTTCAGATTTGTGTGGACATCACGTTTTAGGAAGGACAAAGTTAAAGTACCTCAAAAGAAGAGCAGCCGGCAGGGTTGAGAGAATCAGGGAAACCATCCTGTAGGTAGATCGATGGAGGAAACCAGGGATGTTGAAAGTGAAGAAAAGATTTGGGGGGACATAGTTGCTGTATCTGAAAGATCATCATGTGAGATAAGTTCTGCTTGGCCCCATAGAGCAAAACTAAATAGAATTTGAACCAGCAGATTTCAGCAGGATATAGGGGTAAACTTCCTGAGAGCTGGCTAAAAAGCTAAGACTGCCTGGGGGGCGGTGTCCCTATCTCTGGGGGACAAATGGAGGCCACTTTTCAGAGATACTGCACCTGCACATAGGCTGCTGTTCAGGTAAGAGTTAGACAATGGAATCGAAGTGCTTGTCAAATTGAATTAAGAAAGGGGCAGCTAGGTGGCGCAGTGGATAGAGCTCTGGCCTTGGAGTCAGGAGGACCTGAGTTCAAATGCAGTTTCAGACCAGACACTTGACACTTACTAGTTGTGTGACCCTGGGCAAGTCACTTAACCCTGATTGCCTAAGCAAAAAAAAAAAAAGATTGAATTAAGAAATAAGGGCAGAGGTTGGTACGATGGACAGATACTTGGATTTGGAGCCAAGGGACCTGAGTTCAAATCTTAGGTCTCTTAATGAATGTATGATCTGAGGCGTGTCTCAAATCCTCTGGACTCGGACCTCTTTTCTCCTCACCTTGGACCTGGAGCTCCCCAAACCCCACCCAAGCAGCCAAGCCCTAGACTCCTGTCCCCTCACCACCCATTCCCTAACTCTTCTAGGTTCAGTCCTTGGAGCAGCGGAACCAATTGCTGCAAACCCGATGGAGCTTCCTGCAGGAGCAAGAATCCACCTCGGTTGACTTCAGCCACACATATGAGGAGTACCTGAACCGCCTACAGCAGGAGCTGAAGACTGTGAGTCAGGAGCGAAGTCAGCTTGAAGCCAACCTGATGCAGATGATGGGGAAAGTGGAAGAATACAAGATGAAGTAAGTCTCTGTGCTGTGACCTAGACTGGGGCAGGTCTCTCTGTCCTGTGCTGTGACCTAGGCTGGGGCAGGTCTCCCTAAGGACAGGGAGACCTAAGAGGGACATGATTTTTTTCCACCTTCTATGGAGGGTGGAGCAGCCTGAGTCCCTGCCTATTCTGCCTCCTCTCAGGACCCCCAGGCATCCTACCTTGGACCCTAACTTTCCTCAGAAGTTCTTCTTATTACCATAAGGAAGGCAAGGCAATTAATATCTAGAACAAAATGGCGGCAGCAATTGCCAATAACCCTTCCAAGGGCACCAGCCTCTCTCCACGCTATGATGCTGTCTGTAGCTTTTTCTATAGTGGCAAAGCTAGTGCTTCCTCATAAACTAGTAAGAGCTAACTGTTGACAGGAAAGAGACTAAGAGGTTCAAGAAAAACCTCTCAGTGGCAGAACAGTACAGTTCTGGGAAATCTAGAAGTCCAAGTAGCTTTCTCTGTTTGTCTGTTTCCCCATAAGACACTTTCCTCATGTCTTCAAATCCTAGTATTTGATGGCCTAAGACTCTATGATCCTACCCAGTCTGCCCAACATTATCAACACTCTCACCCTACAGCCTCTGTGACTCATTAGCCCTAATATCCCACCTTCCCCCAACATCTGACCTCACCACCTCCAGAGTTCCTTCTAACCACCCCCAGACACAGAGTTTTGGAAACCGATACAGAGAGGCCCCACAAGAAAGACCAGGGAGATTCCATTTCTCCTAGGCCCGTTCCATAGTTCACTGTGGGATTTCTCTTTCCGTCTCCACCTAAATTCCATGAGGTCTTTATCTGAATTCCACTAGGCCTCTTGCCTAGTTTCTACTCAGCTGTCTGATTTCTCATTTAGCCTCTCCCTTATTTTCATTCAGTTTTCTACTTGATTTCTCATAGACCCTCTGCCTAATTTCCATTAAGCTTGCTACCAGACTAGATCTGTAAGGTCCCATCTCAATCTAAAAAAAAAAAAAAGTATGTGATTGAATTCTATTTGGTCTGGCATGTGATCTACATTAGATTCATTGCAAAATTCTACTCGTGGTTTTATCTAACATCACACAGAGCGTTCAAGGTCCAAGAAAGGGTCTTCCAAACTGGGCTCCATTAGTAGCCAAAAGAAAGAGAATAAGAGGAAAGTGGTGGATAGATGATGGAATGAGAGAGAAGGACCAGGGCTCCCCAGAGAGAAGAGCTCAGGTTGAGGAAGGTAGGCGTGGAAAGCATTTTGTATCTCCTAGATCCCCCAGGTTGCTATGTATGTTGGAAGGGGTGCCTGGGTGACTTTGGGCTAGGTCCCAAGATAGAGATAACAGGGAGGGGCTAATCTTTGGCTACGTAACAACTGATGAGATCAGCCCTTGCTCTCCACAAGCAAACAAGTTGAGGAGAGGGGAGGGAGTGAGGGGTGGGGGCTGGCAGAAAGAGGCAGCAAATTGAATTAAATATATTTTGTGAAGCTGAACAGAGTTGGGGGAAGGAAGGGCAAGGAGACAGGGTCATCCGAGTTGGGCTTTCAGTCCAGGAAGGGGTAGCCTCCACAGAACATAGAATTATAGTATCAGAATTGGAAAGAACCTCATTTTCCAGATGAGGTCCGAAGAAGGGGAGCAATTTTCCCAAGCTTATTTATACAGGAGGCCAAGCTGGGATTCCTGATTCCTAGTCACGGGCTCTTTCCACACCCTGCTGGGGCCACCCTGAGGAGCTTAGGACTTGACACAATCAGTTTCTTTCACCTGGAGAAGGGGCCAAAAGTCAGGCCTGCCTCCCCATATTCCCAGGTCCTGTCACCTTCTGGGCCGTCTCCCTACAGTTCTAAACCGACTCTGTATGTGGTCTGCTGGGCAGCCAGCTGGGCAGACTGGACGCTAGACGCAAGGGGCACCCCCTTCCAGGCGAAAGCAGCAGCTCCTGAAGACATTAAGCAATCCCTCCTTCAATGTTTGCCCCTGGCCTGCTCAGTAGTACTCATGACCTTCTCCCCTTCTCTTCCCTTGACTCTGTGCCCTATCTCCCACTTTTCAAAGACACGGTCCTGGGTGAAACCCACAACAAGGGGCAAGAGTGAGGATTGTAGAGATATTATGTTTCCACAAGAACTAACCAGCTAGCGTGCCTGCCTGACTTCTCCCAGGCCCACCCCCTGCCTGGTTTCTACTGAAATTTTTCAATTAAATTTTATTTTTAATTATTAATTGTATTTAATTATTAATATTAATAATTAATAATAAAATATAAAGTTGATTATATTTTATTATTAAGCATTCATTTTTCCCTTCCCCCCACCTCCCTTCTCATTGCCCGCCTCCCTCCACTGAGGAAAAAAAGAAAAGAAAGAAAAACAAAACCCTTGGATCCAATATGTAAAGTCAAGCAAAACAAATTCCCATTTTGGCCGTGTCTAATACTGCCTTTATTCCATTAGAGAACTGTGTGGAATCTCAGACTCCTGGGGTTAGCCAGGGCCTGGATAGGCTCTCCAGGCCAAGCCTTTGCCTCCAAATCAGATGCTATACTACAACTCAGCCTTGGTGTAAAGGTCTGGACTTCCAGAGCAGGGGAGGCTAGGGAGGAACCAGGAAGAGAAGAACAGAGGGAAAAGAGGTGGAAAACCCTACATGACCTCAGATAAATCACTTCACCACCTTGAGCCTCAGTTTCCTCCTCTAGATAATGAAGAGTTGGAACTAAATGATCACTAAGGTCCCTTCCGGGCAGCTGGGTGGCTCAGTGGATAGAGTGCCCTCCCTGGAGTCAGAAGGGCCTAAGTTCAAATCCAGCCTCAGACATTTATCAGCTGCGTGACCCTGGGAAAGTCACTTAACCCTATTTGCCTCAGTTTCCTCATCTGTAAAATGAGCTAGAGAAGGAAATGACAAATCACTCTAGTATCTTTGCCAAGAAAACACCAAATGGGATCACAAAGAGTGAACAACAATAGAAACAAAGATCCCTTCCAGCTCTAAGTCATAGAATCCCTCCCAGGTGACCTGTCTACTGAGCCTGAGGCCTCCTCCTGTTGGAACTGGGAACTGGAAAGCAGGACATGTGACTCTCAGAATAGCACGTCCCTGACACTAGAACAAAAAAGGAATTGGGCAGCAAACCCAAGGGGTAAGCCTACTGGAAATCAGGCAAAAAGAGCACTAGATCTCTCTGAGCCTCAGTTTCCTGATCTGTAAAATGGGACTGGGTGGGGAAAGGCATTCTAGATGTTGCCGTTCAGTCAGTTTTCAGTCGTGTCTGATTCTTTGTGACCCCATTTGGGGTTTTCTTGGCAAAGATACTGGAGTGGTTTGCTATTTTCTTTTCCAGCTCATTTTACAGATGAGGAAACTGAGGCAAACAAGATTAAGTGACTTGCCCAGGGTCATGCTGCTAGTAAGTGTCTGAAGCCGGGATTTGAACTCAGGAAGAGGAATCTCGCTGACTTCGAGCCCAGCGCTCTGTGCACTATGGCACCACCTAGCTGCCCTGTTCTAGATGACCACTGTGATATTATGATCTTGTGATATGAGAAGACCTCATGAAAATAAAGCATTAGATATGATGACAGTCTAGCAGCAGACAATAATGAAGTTCAGGTGGCAAGAAAGTCTGGTGGATCCTCAGTCTTTCAGGAGGTGCATACCCATGAGGAGCAGAAGAAGGTGTGACTGGTATGGCCACAATCCAGGGACTTTCATATCTAGGCAGAGGCTCCCTCTGACACCCCTACCCCCACCCTACCCCCTCTTGCCACTGCCCCAGTGATCCCAGCCTGACCCTATTGACCTGAGTTGAGTCTCCCCCCCTTTCCCATAATTAGCTGTAGAGTGACTCCAGGCCTGGTGCTCTATCCACTGTGCCACCTACTTGTTCCTATACATGACATATACAGTGTAAATGCAAAGTAGTCTTGGAAGGGGCTGGGGGAAAGAGGGTAGAGACCAGGAAAGGCCTCTTGAAGAAGATAGAATTTGAACTGAATATTGAAGGGCCTACATAGCCAAAAGCTGGAGGTGAAGAAGAAAAGCATTCCAGACATGGGGGAGTCACTGAAAAGGCACCACAACCCCCTCATCTTATGGGGAAACTGAGGGCCATCAGTTAAGAGACTTGCCCACATTCATGCAGATAAGTCAGTGGAAAAATTGGGAATAGAACCCAGGTCTCCTGAATCTCAGCTCGGGCTTTGTCCCCCACCACATCTTCTAAGAGAACCCAGGATACGAGAGCAGCAATCGGGGAGATTTCTTTTCTCTCTGACCAGCAGCCTGATTTCCAGTAGACCTGGTTTCTCTCTCTCAGGCATGCTTCTGCACACAGCTGTCACATGGCAGAGGTCAAGGCGGTGGGGAGGTACTCCCACTCAGGTTGCCCACGGGGCCTGAGGAACCTTGCCAGCTGGTGACACAGGTCCAGGGCAGTACCTGGTGCATAGCAAGGAAGGCTGGTTATAGTTACTACCAGAAGGTGATTGAGGAATTCCAGGGACAAAAACATAAAAAAGAGGAGGGACCCATCTCTCAGGTAACTCTGGAGCTCCAAGATCCCATTGTTCACACACAGCTCTAATCTTCAGGATACCTGAAGAATGCCCAGAATGAAGGGGAAAGGAAATACCAGAGATCTCTGCAGGGTTGTGCAGAGATCATAGCTGGACCAGCCGCAGGCTGAGTGTCAAGGGGCAGGGGGGAGGGAGAGGAATAGCTTACAAGCAATCCCAGGCTCCATGGCAAACGTTTTCCCAAGGGAAGTCAGTTACACAAGATCTGAGGGTTGGATGGGGAGGAACCAAGGGAACTCAGGAACCTCGTCCTATCCCATCCCTAGCACTGTCCATCAGATAGCGTCCCCATTCCAGCCAGAAGCCCAGCAAAGAACATTCAGAAACTAAGGAAGAGCGTGGGGGTAGGAGCAAAAAATCAACCCTGATTGCTAGGGTCATTAACTCTTTCGTGACTTCATTGTGGAAATATAGAATATGAATCTATCTTTTCCATTTCCCAAATGGGAAACCTGAGTGAACCTGGACAGTGGAGAAGATACATAGGAAGAAAGGAGAATTAAGGATGGGGGCATCTAGGGATTCCCTCGAGTGATGTGATAGGTAGAGCTGGGGATGGGGGTCAGGTGGTCCTGCTAAAGCCTCCTCCATCTCTCAGGCTTGGAATTTGTGACAGTTTTTCAAACACATGAAAGTGGAATCCCCATCCCCACCTCACCCCTTCTCTCACCAACCTGGGAAGTTCTGAGGTTCAGGGTTCAGTTCTGGCCTTGCCAATTGGGGTGCGCTGCCGGGTCAGAGTTACGTTACACTCCAAGCCTAAAGGACCTGTAAGCCCTGGTTGGACTGTCCTCATCTCTTTTGGTCCCTGAAGTTGCTTTACCCTCAATCTTTCATAGAACTCTGCCATCTTTTCCTTACCCATGTATTCTGCCAGACTAAGCGAGCCTCTTCTTTCTCTCCTTACCCACACCCTACCACATACACACACTCCAGATACAAAAGAAGGGAAGAGCCCAGAAATAACAAAATTTGTTAGTGCTACAGAAACTAAATTCTGAGTCAATGAAAAAAGCAAAAAATGGTCCTAAAGAACAAATAATGAAACACATCTCCCTCTTCCTTGCTGGAGAGGCAGAACCTTACATACCTTGTCAGGTGAGGTCACTATAAAAGTGCCTTATGCTTAAGTATTTGTCACGTGGGAGGTATACAGATCTGGGTGAGTGGCAGGAAGGGTAATATCCAGAAATGACTATGTAAAAACAAAAGGCATTAATAAAACATATTTAAAAGTATAACATTGCAGGCAATCAAAAATTATAGGTGAAAGCTTCCATCTCCAGCAAAAATTATTTTTGGCTAATGTTCCTTCTTGGTCCCTATAGGAGAATGGTACCTTCCATCCCCCCAAAAAGTCCTGACATTGATGTGGGATTTGCCCATCTGGGCACTCTGGCTCAAGCTTATTGACCTATTCAACAACACCAGAGTCACCATAAGCTAATTGGGAAGTTGGCATCATCCAGTGCCCTGGATTTGGAGACAGAGGACCAGGTCAGGAAGACCTGAATTCAAATCTGTCCTCGGACATTTAGTAGCTATGTGACCCTGGGCAAGTCAGCCTCTATCTGTCTCAATTTCCTCGACAATAAAATGGGGATCATAATAGAATCTACCTTTCAGAGTTGTTATGAGGATCAAAAGAGATATTTGTAAAGCACTTAACACAGTGCCTGGCACCTAATAGGCAACTAATAAATGTTTTTTTCCTTTCTCCTCTAAGACTGCAAGTTGTCAAGAAGGAGCTGACCTGTGTTGACAAAGAGAATTTCTTACCTGAGAATTCTCTATACCAAAGAAATCAAAGTCCAGTCCCAATTCCCATCCCATTTGTATAGCGTGATTTGTTTAGCCATTCCCCAATTGATGGAAATGTCCTTGGCTTCAATTCTTTGCTATGGCAAAAATATTGTAGCAAGCTATAAATGTGCACATGGGTCCTTTCCTATTTTATGTGATCTTTTGGAGATGCATGACTAGAGGACTAGTGACTTTTGAGTACAGTTATTCAAATTGCTTTCCAGAACAGTTGGACCAATTCACAGTTCTACCAACAATTAGTATGCATGTTCTTCTACCTCCCCACCAACAATTGTCATTTTCCTTTTTTGTTCTTGTTTTTTTTGCCAGTCTGATAGTTGTGAGGTATAACCTCCGAGGTGTTTCATTTGTACTTCTCTTATTTTGGGTTATTTAGAGCATTTTTAAAATTTGGTTGTCAGTAACTTGCATTGGAACTGCCTGTTCCTATTCTTTAAACATTTATCTATTAGGGAATGGCTCTTGTGCTTATAGAGCTGAATCAGTCCCCTACAAATCTTAGATATAAGACCTTTATCAGAGAAGTTTGCTGCAAAGATTTTTCCCCCATTAACTTCTAATTTTAACTTCTAATTTTCCCTTCTAATTTTAACTGTATTGGCTTTGTGTAAAAATGTTTCAATTTTGTGTAATCAACATCATCCACTTTATCTGCAGTGATGCTTTGGGAAAGGGGTTTCTGAGCTCCGCACTTATAGCTAGAATAGAGCAGCTGAAGGGGCAGCTAGGTGGCGCAGTGGATAGAGCACCGGCCCTGAAGTCAGGAGGACCTGAGTTCAAATCCAGCCTTGGACCAAACACTTGACACTTACTAGCTGTGTGACCCTGGGCAAGTCACTTAACCCCAACTGCCTACGCAAAAAAAAAAAAAGAAAAGAAAAAAGAATAGAGGAGCTGAGTCTCTTTTTGTTTCTGTCCCTCTCAGATATGAAGAAGAGATTACCAAGCGAACAGACATGGAGTTCACCTTTGTCCAGTTGAAGAAGGTACCCCCCCCACCTCTTCCTGTCTCCCAGCCTGCCTGACCTTAGGATAGAATCCAGCTCCCTTGGGCCAGGAGCTCTTAACATTTTGTGTGCTATAGACCCCACTGTCGATCTGGTGAAGCCTATGAGCCCCTTCTCAGAATATCTTTTGCCCACTTTCATAACTGGAGGAAACGATAAATTTAAAATAGACATTAGTAAAAACAAAGATGTATTTTTTTCCTGTCCAAGTTCATGGATCCCCTGAAATCTCAAGGGATCTATGGACCCTGGATTAAAAACTCCTCCCTTAGGCCCATGGTGGATTTTTCTTAACCCTGCCTTCTGGTTTCCATTGGGTCTACCTGGATTTTTTTTAAAAAACACTTTTTGCAGATGCACCAGTGTTTATCCCAGAATAGAGAAACAAATAGACAAATATCTGAGTAAGCAAAGAGAGAGAAATACACAGCACAGGTGGCTAGGGCACTGTTCTTGTCCTGCTCCTTTTTCCCAGAGTCCTTTTAGATTCTTCTCATGGACCCTTCTCCTCCCCCTTCCTTAATTTTCTAGGATCTCTCCTTCCCCACCAGATACTTTCACTCTCTAGAGTTAAGGGGCAACATCTGCCCTACCCTTGCCCTAATACCCCTCCTTCTCCAGCTCAGTTCAGTCCCAATGTACCCCACCTACATCCTCTTTCTCACGGATCACTCCTTCCCCACCAGGATCTGGATGCTGAGTGTCTTCGAAGAACAGAGCTAGAGGCCAAACTCCAAGGACTCCAGAGTTTTGTGGAGTTGATGAAAACTGTGTATGAGCAGGTGAGAGAAATGGGCTCCCTGGCAGCTCCGTGAGCATGGAAAGAAGGGAACTGATGGCCTACTAAAAACAAACAAATGAAAAACTATCCCTCTTCATTATGCTCATCAGTGTAATGTGGTGGAAAGAATGCTGGATCTGGGTCAGAGGACATTGGTGTGACTCCCATCTCTGTTACTATATGTGTGACATCAAGCAAATCACTTAAGCTTCCTACTCTTCATCTGTAAAATTAAGGGATGGTGCCAGATGAGTTCCAAGGTTTCTTTCCAGCTCTTCCTATAAGATCCATTTCTAGGTGAACTTACACAGGTCAATAACCTCTCTGGGCCTCAGTTTCCTCATCTATAAAATGAGCAGATCAAAGAAAAGCATCTCTTGGGTCCTTTCCAGCTGCAATGTTCTGAGTCTAGGATTCTTTATCCTAGTTTTTACCAGGAGGAAAAGTGGAGGGAGGGCAGGGAATGGATGAGAAGCTAGGAAGATGCCAGGAATAGTAGGGCCTGAGTGAGTGTGGCAATTCCTTGGCCATTCATCTGTCCGGCAAAATGGTGAGTCCCCAGGGGTGGGGAAGCTTCAGCCTCAAGGCTACATGTGGCCCTCTAGGTCCTCAAGTGTGGCCCTTTGCCTGAATCCAAACAGATTCACACTTCACCACCTAGCTTCCAGAGAACCAGCTTCAAAACTCTGCAGACCTGGGCTCAAGTCTCTCCTCTGACACACATTGGCTGTGTGATCCCAGACATGTTTCTTAACCATTCTAGCAACCTCTGGGCAACTATGAGTTGAGAGAAGGCGCTGACCTGTTTCAGTAGATAGAGTTTTCTTAGCCTGAAGTTCTCCATACCAAGGAAAATATAGATCCACGCCATATCCTATTCCCATATGTAAAGCACTATGCTAGGATTTGGGAAAAGCAAAAGGAAAAAGGAAACGACCACTTCCCTCAGAAGGCTTAAAGTCAGTTGGGATGTTTAAAAGAGCTAATTATCTGCAAACCTGGACAGGCCCCTCCAATCACCCATAATTAGTATGAATTCATGAGCTCCAAAGACTGGAAAGAGTATCAAATTATAGAATTGAGAACTGGAAGGACCTAAAAGATCACCCCCTCCAATGCCCTCCATGTATGACCTCAGAGAGAAGTGATTTGCTCATGACCACCCAGGTAATAAGTACCAGAATAGGAAGAAATCATAATGTAGGCCTGCTAAAAATCAAGTCTGAGCCTCGGAGCAAAACTGGAAAAATGTTGTCTCACCGTCGTGGTGAGTTCTAATGCAGGCAATGAAGAAATTAGAGGCTGCTACCCTGAATATGCCCTAAAAGAAAATGGAGTTTACCTCTGAGCCTAAGCCATACTAGCCCCTCAGTCAGCCTATGGAGGGAGGCAACCCCAGTTACCAAAACTGTTAGTTAAAGAAAAAGAAAAAAAAGAGAAAGAAAGAAAAGAAGAAAAAAAAACTCTTAGTCTCTGAATGTTGCCTATTAGGTATGGAGTTTGTCTCTTCCAGGCTCTCCATGTCTGGCACCTTCCTAGCTTTTATTCATATTATTCCCATCCACATAAATTATTCTCTGGTTCAACTGGACTTCTCATTCTCCCCCACGCTTTCCAATGTTTATACTTTTGCCTGTGTTATTCTCCATGCCTGCAATGCAACCTACCTCCACCACCCCACTTCTGCCTGATGAATTCCCACTCACTCTTCCAAGTCCAACTCAAATATTCTTTCTCCATTAAGTCTTCCCCAATTTCCCCCAGGTAACCATTATGACCTTTTCCCCCCTCCAATCTCACTCAGATTTTTATTTGCACCTCTTTAATGCAATTGTGTATTATTGGGGTGCTATGGTCCATGGGGTCATGAAGAGTTAGACATGATTGAACAAGTGAGCAACAAGAATGTGGCGTATACTTCTAGTAAAGTCTAATTTCTATGAGCTGAGGGAACATGTATTGCATAAATTTCATATCCCTTCCTACCACCTAATTCAGAATTCTGTACACAGTAGATCCTTAATAAGTAGTTGTTGTTTAACTCGCCCTTAACTGGGATCCATCTTTAATTGAGATTTGAGGAAGAAAGAGATACAGCGTCCACTCTCAGGGAGCCACCAGTCTTATAGGAAAGACATGAAGTACCTACCAAGGATGGAGTAAATGCAAAGAAAGAATGAGAAACAAGTAGGCAGAGGGCTAGGCTTCAGTGCTGAGGCAATGGGGAGAAAGCAGAAAAAATGGAATTAGAAGTGAATCTGAGAAGGCTTCCTAGAGAAGGAAGAGGGTAGATTGGGCTAGGAAGCCAGGGTGGAAGGCTTAGAGGTAGGGCAGATGAATGGAGATGTGCCAAGGAAGGAAGGAAGATGCTGAGGGGAGGAAGCTGAGTGGTGAGAAACATTAATCAAAGGATTGCTAGCTGGAAAGGTCCTCAGAGGCCTTCTAGTTCATTTGTAGAGACCCAAAAAAGGGAAGTGACTTTCCCAAGCTCATACAGAGCTAGGCTTTGAATTCAGGGCCTCTGTTTCCACTCTAGTATTTTATGTTATTTTTTCAAAACACCACAAATACTTTCATTCTCTTTTCATGGAGGTGGGCATGCTAGGACACTATCCTCCTATTGTGAAAATGGAGGAGCTAAAATAATAAAGGGGATGGGGATCCCAAATGGAATCCCCTGCACCTGACCTCTCTGTTCAATCCTATTCTCTCCCCCTTTCTCTCCTCCCAGGAGCTCCAGGACCTGATGGCCCAGGTGAAGGACGTATCAGTGACTGTAGGAATGGACAGTCGCTGCCACATTGACCTCAGAGGCATTGTGGAGGAAGTGAAGGCACAATATGATGCCATTGCTGCCAGAAGTCTGGAGGAGGCCGAAGCATATTCCAGAAGCAGAGTAAGGGCAAACAGGATGGTAGAAAGGGAAGAGGAAAGGGTACCATGTTGGTGGGGCATCGCTGACCACAGACTGTGTCCCACATGGGTGGGAGGGAGAAGCTGGGGGGCTGACTCCAGGAAGCTGTCCCAGCCTAGGAGTGGGGAGGGGGGCTAAATGCCAATAAGTGATGGGGGTGGGGAAGGTGAGCTCAGAAACATAATCTATCTCGAATTCTCATGAAATGGGGGGGTGTAGTTTGGGAAATGGAAGAGAAATAAAATACATAAAGGAAGTTCTGGGTAGAAAGAGGTAGTCTAGCCCAGAGGAGAGAACACTAGACCAGAATCCTATTGGCATTGCCACCAACTCGCTCTGTGACCTCAGACAAGTCTTTTCTACTTTCTGGGTTCTTGAGCTCTCAAGTTTCTTCCAGTCCTGATAGACTGGGTTTTTCTTGGGGGACACTTCAGAGAGGAACAGATCAATCCATCAGGTGTTGGTTTAACTTCTGCTATATAGCAGTTGTGGGGGACGCCAGAAAAAGGAGGGGAGCAAACAATGGTCTCTGCCCTCCAGGAGTTTATGTTCTAACTGGGAAACTAAGGCATAGAACAGCCTGCTGTGTGTCTATCTGCACTGGTCCCTCCTACTCAACATGACCAAAAGGGACTATCATCTTAACACCCCCTCCCCACCATCCCGTGCTCCTATCTTTCCTATCACTTCATCTTAAAACATGGTAAACAACTTGGACTCTTTCCTCTGGTCCTCAACATCCCATCATTTTCCAAAGGTACAATTCCAAAGTGCATTCTACCTCTGCCATATCTTTTCTCTGTCCTTTTCCCTTGCTACCCAACCAGATCCTCAGTGGCTCTCCCCTGAACTATTGTACTAGCCTTGTAACTAGTCTTAAAGAATCATAAGAGCCTAGATCTAGCATTGGAAGGACCAAAGAGACCATCCAATGCCCTCAGATGTAGGAAACAGAACCAAGGGAAGTTAAATGGCTCAGCCAATACACACAGGAAGTTAGATGACTTATCCAAAGACACACAGGCTGAGCCACCAAGAAAAAAAACTGGTTTTAAAATATGCCTTTAATATTTAAAATATTAAATGACTTATCCAAAGACACACAGGCTGAGCCACCAAGAAAAAAAACTGGTTTTAAAATATGCCTTTAATATTTAAAATATTAAATGACTTATCCAAAGACACATGGGTAGTGTCACAGTTGGGATCTGAACCCAAGTCCTCTGATTCCACTGCGTCATCCTACTTCTAGTCTTCACTTCCCCAAACCATGCTTCCTTCACACTCTTGACCAACTAATCTTCCTTTAAACATGTCTCCTCTGCTCAAAACTCTTCAGTGGCTCCTGTTTCCCTAATGAAAAAACTACAAACTACTGGCTGTTGGGGCATTCTAGACCTTCCCTAACGTGACTCTACCATACATATCCAGTCTTACCTCATCCTCTCATCATGGATGCCACATGTCAGCCTATTGGCTCTTTCACCATCTCCCATTCCTAGCCTTCCCTTTTCTATCTCCACACCTTTTTTCAGACTAACCCATGTGCCTGGAATGGACTCTCCCCTATATTTTGAAGTAGTTGCCTTCTGTTAAGGCTTAACTCAGGTACAACTACCTCCATGAAGACTTCCCTAATACTGCTAACACCCCTCCACAGGTAAAAGGGACCTCTTTTTCCTCAGTTTCTCAGATTGCTTTGCCTGGCACTCTATATTAAGTTCATTCTCCCTTGTCTCATGGGGATTTGCATTCTTATCTCTCCCCCTCTTCCTGACCTGAAGACCCTCATGAATAGGGTCAGTGTTATACCTGTCTTTGTATCTCTCAGTCCAATGTCTTTCACACAGTGGGCATTTAATAAATGTTCGTGGAATTGAAGATACATAAACCTGAAGCCACATCATATGGTGTTGTTCAGACTCTAAACTATAGGACTTCTGGGGAGAGAAAAAATAGGAGAATGAGGGGAAGGAGACAAAGAATAAGGATTTGGGAGGAGAGGGGAGAGAATAAAGTGAAGGGGAAAAACAGAGAGAGGACAGAGAATAGAAAGTGGGGGAGAGGATAAGAGAAAGAGAGAGAAAGATAAAGAAGGTGGAAAGAAAGGAGACAAGAGAGTGAAGGAGAGAGGGAGAACAGTGAAGATGGGGAAGAGGGAGAACTAGAGGTTAGGGAAAAGAGAAGACATGGGGAGAATAGAGAAGGTGGACAGAGTAGACAACAGAGAGTAGGAGAGGGAGGAGAGGGGAGAAAATAGAGACAGAGGAGAGAGAGGAGAGGAGAGAAAAGAGGAGAGAAAGAAAAGAGGGAGGAAATAGAGAAGTTGGGGAGAGAGAAGACAAGAGAATAGGAAGGTGAGTGATGCAGCTTCATGAAATGGAAAGACCCCTGGATCTTAAGTGAGGATAGGAAGGTGAGAGATAGAAAAGAGGGAGGAGATTAGAGACTTGGGGTTGGGTGAGGAGAGCAGTGGGGGGGAAATGATAAGAAAACAGGGGGAAGAGAGAGAAAGCCATGACAGTGGAAGAAAAAGAAAAAAAAGGGAAAAGGAAAATGGCAGAGAATAGTAAAGAAGCTGTGAGACAGCCTAAGGAAAAGAGGGAAGTAGAGAATCAGTAAGGAAAGAAAGAAGAAGGATGGGATGGGGAAAAAAGAGGAAACAGCCACAGAGAAGTCTTTCCAAGCTGGACCAAATTTCTCATTTACTCTTGTTTAATTCTCAGCTGGAGGAGAGGGCAGCTCGCTCTGCTGAGTTTGGGAACAGCCTTCAAAACAGCCGAAGCGAGATCACTGACTTGAACATCCAGATTCAGAAGTTAAGGTCCCAAATCCTCTCTCTCAAGAGCCATGTGAGTGACTCAAAGGGGCCACGCACACCCAAACTTTCTCTCTCAGGTCTCTCCACCAATAAAACTGGACTGGGGTTCATCAGTCGGAGACCTGAACCATACAAGAAAAAAAGCTGGTTTTAAAATATCCCTGGGACAGATATGTCACAGGTTCCTGAACCTGTGTTAATATCCTTGACCATTAAGGCAGCACAGTCCATCAACAAGCATTTCTTAATGGAACCTAGACTTGGAAGGCCTGAATTCAAGTCCTGTTTGGACCATAAAATTTAGACGTGGAAAGGATGATAGAGGCCATCTTGTCCAAGCCTTCTGGGTGGGCAACAAAAAAGACTGTTGGCCTTTAGAGGTCTTTGCAGTGCATTTTCTCCTCCTCTTATTAGTTGTAGCATTGAACAAGTAACAACCTCTGGTTCTCGATTTCTTCATCTATAAAATGGGAAAAAAAAGTTAATACAGTGCTAAGCACCTAGTAGGTGCTTAATAAATGCATCTACTGTGCTAAGCACTTTACAAATATTATCTCATTTGATCCTCACAACAACTCTATGAGGGAGGGGCTGTTATTATTCCCATTTTACAGTTGAGGCAAAAAGAGGTCACACAGTTAGTAAGAGTCTGAGGTCAAATTTGAACTCACATCTTCCTGACTCTAGGCCCAGCACTGTTATGCCACTTAGCTGCCTCTAAATGGTCTTATTCATAACCCTTTTCCTGCTTATCTCACAGAGTTGTTATAAGTCACAAATGATAATAGGGTGATAGGGACTGAACCTATGGTTTCAATGATATGGGGAATTCCTAATAGGGAAACTCTCTCTATCAATGAGGATCAGAACCTTCTTTGTAACTTATAGTCTTAGAAAGTTGCCTAGAAGTTGAGTGACTTGCCTAGAGTCACACAGCCAGGATGTTTCAGAGATGGGACTTGAGTTCAGATCTTCCTGTTTTCAAGGCCAGGTCTCTATCCATTACACCACACTGCCTTTCAGGCATTGAACTCTTTATTTTAGGAACCATAAAGCACTATACTATCACATTTAAATTTTGATTTATCTCTAACTGAACTCCTTATCCATACCTGGGGGATGTGGGTTATGTGATAGCATATTGTCCCTCTACCCAAGAATGCCCAGGCTGGGCTCTGGTCCCTCCCTCTCTAACAATCTCCCCTCATTTTCCTGGTTGTAGTGTCTGCATTTGGAAGAGAACATCAAAGCAGCAGAAGAGCAGGGTGAGTTGGCCTTCCGGGATGCCCGGGCCAAGCTGACACAGCTAGAGGAGGCCTTGCAAAAAGCCAAAAAGGACATGGCCATCCAGTTGCGGGACTACCAGGAGCTGATGAACGTCAAGCTGGCCCTGGACATAGAGATCGCCACCTACAGGAAGCTGGTGGAAGGAGAAGAGTGCAGGTGACAGGAGGGAACTGACCAGATGAGGCCAGAGGCAAGACTAGATAAGATGGGAGAGAAGGCAAGGGAACTGAGAATTACAGGATTTAAAGCTAGGTCACCTAGTCTAACCCCCCCCCCCCCATTTTACAGATGGGAAAACTGAGGTACAGGAGAGGTAACATGCTGCAACAGAAAGAACCCTTGCCTTGAAATTGGAAGACCTTTTGCCCTTCCTCTGTGTGACCTTTGGCAAATCACGTGACCTTTTTCAGCCACAGTTTCCTCATCTGTAAAGTGAAAATAATAACTTGCACTTTCTATCTCCCATGGCATGAGACTCAAAGAGATCATACACGCAAAAACCCCTTGTAAGCAAAAAAAAAAAATTCTATAAACATATTCAATTATTGTTGTTATTATCATGCAGTTTGACAAACATTATACAATTAGCGGCTAATCTGGTCCTATAAATCAGGATTCCCTGATTCCAGTGCACTCTATTTCATTTTTTAAAGTACCAAAAAACGCTTCTAGCATATGTTATAGAATGAAAAAATGTGAAGAACACTCTGCCCGAGTCTGAGAATCCAGACCTTAAATGAAATCAGGCATCAGGCCAACAGAAATCAGGAAGCTTCCTCAAGGAGAAAAGTGAACCCAAAAGGGCTATGTCACTTGCCCAGGTCTGCACAGTGTGGAAGCAGCAGGGCTGCCCATAGACTCTGTCCCTCTCCTGTCCCTCCCTCCTTCTCCACCTGACCTCCTGCTTCTCTTTCCCCAGGATGGACTCTCCTTCCTCTGCGGTTGTCAGTGCTGTCCAATCCCGATCCAGACCCTGTGAGTTTATTCATCTTATCTTGCATGTTTGGGGGAAGTTGAAGGAGGGTGGGATCCCTGGGATTGGGAGCCCTATTCCTTTTTAGGGGGATCTAAAAGCAGCTTGATCCAATTTAACAAACATGTATTATTAAAAACCATGACATGCAAGGCACTGAGGTAAGCATGGGAAAACCAAAATTAAAAGGAGACAACCCTTACCCTCTAAATGTTTATAAGCTGCTGGAGGGACTAGAACTTGTACATGGAGAGGTAAATACAGAGTATATTCAAAGTAACTTCTAGAGGCAGAGAAAACTAATAAATGGTGGGGAGGGAGCAGTTAGGAGGTGGGAGCTGAGTGAGGTAGAGGTAAGGAGGGAGTGCATTCCAGACATGGTACCAGCCTTAGATGGCATCTCAGGTATCAGAAATAGTAGTTAATATGTCAATTTGTCTGGAACAGAAAGTGTATAAAGGCAAGTAATAGGAAATAAGACTGAAAAGATAGGTGGGAGCCAGATTCATGAGGGAGTTTAAATGCAGGGTTAAAGATTTGGTATTTTGTCCTAGAGACAATAGGGAGCCATGGAAGATTTTTGAGCAAGGGAAAGACATAATCAGATGTGTGACTTAAAAATATCCACTTGACAGCTACGCAGAGGGTAGATTGAAGAGTGAGAATGAATTGGGACAGGAGTATGAGATACTCCCCAGTCACCTCCCATGTTTATTTCCCTTGCAGTTGCCTCCAAATCAGGCCCCTCAACGAGCCCCTTCCTAAGCAGGAAGAACAGGGGTCCAGTGATCAAGATCACAGAGATGTCAGAGAAGCTCATCTCTCAGGAATCGGAGGCCACTCAGTAAGGCAGCTGGCCCCCTGGCCCAGCTAGCCACTCCCACTCATGGAAGACAGAGGGAAGCATCAGCCTGCCTACATTTTTGGTGGGAGGTGTCCAGAGGGGATTAATGATCATCCCACTACACTTCTCAGCCTCCCAACAGCAACATTCATGTCTGGAATTTCCACCCAGTGGTCAGGGCCATTTGCCTTGCTTCCTGGACATGCTAAATGGACTTCAGGATCAATCTTGCCTCTATTCCTTGTCACCTCTAGGACTTCCTCTGACTCCCTTCCCCCACACACACACTCAGTTTTCATTTGAGGTTTGGGGAATCTGAACAACTGATCTGTCTGGCATGATCCCCTGCCCTGGACATGCCTCTCAAGTCCCCGCCTCAAGGTAGAATTAAGTGAACAAGTCTCCCATTGCTCTCTGGTCTGGTCACCTTCATGCTGCCTGTCCCTCCTCTGGCACCTCCGGGGCATGGGTGGAGGAAAGGAAGCTTGGGTGCCGCTGATCAACCAGATTAGCAGGGAGGATGAAAGCCCACTATTTCCTTGCCACCAATCTTCACTTGCTCCCTAAACCCCTGACAGTATTAAAAGTAAGCAGGGTGTGGGGATTCCTGGGGGAGAAATTAGATGTTCTTCTGGGTGGAACCAGGGAATTAGCCTCGAGGCTCCTGGGCCTTGATAACCCAGCTTAAATGCCTCATTATCCCTCCCTTTCCCTTCTGCCCCATATGAGTCCCATACTCCCAGGGACATTGCTCAAATTTAATAGCCCCCAGGAAAGGAATAGTCCATTGGCCTATTCCTGAGCCAGCTTCCCATCTCCTCATCAGGGAAACCTTATATTCTTGCCATTTAGTTAGAGGAGAAGGTTAGAAGAAGCCTTTTCCCAGCTAATTCCAAGTTCTTGTGGATGTTGCTAACACTTAAGCCTTACTATACACTCCTAGAGGAGAGGTAACAGAATCTCATCTCACCTTATTCAGGTGCAGCTGTTATAGGGCCTGGCCAGGGCCCCTTGTCCTAGAGTCTCTGTGGCCTCACACTCAGAGTTCCTATCCTCTAACTATGTACTCTAGCCAAAAAGGCAAAGTTCTTGCATCTCCAGTGTAGCCACATTGCCAAGATTGTCCCCTCCCCATCCCCCCAAAGGTAGAACCAGAAATGCCTTGAACCTCCAACTCTTGGTCATCTACGACTGGATTTGTTGCCCTGACCCTTCTCCCAGGACTAACATCTAGCCCTTTGCCTCTATGCCTTCCTTCCTTCCTGTCTTCCTTCCCATGGGGCCATGAAAAAGGCTTAATTAGAGCCCTTTGGAGCCCTGAGGGTGGAAAACTGTAAGGATGGGTAGGTAAGGAGTCTTCTTAGCTACTATCCTCTACAGCCATGGTAAAGAGGGTATCCTATCAGCCCCAAAATGAATGTCTTAAAGAGACATAAAAGAAAAGATTCAATAACTAAAACAAGGGTATTTGGGTCTGTGACCCTATGAGCTCCTTTCCCCTTTTCCTGGCAGATTCCAAACTACCCCCTACTGACCTCTTTTTTTCAGTCTGAAATCTCTCCTCAACCACAGACCCCCACCCTTCCTCCATCTTCTCCCACCTCAGAGCCCATCTTTTCCCTTCTCCCCTAATGCCCCCAGCCCTAGCTCCTCACTCACATCCCCAAGTCCCACTTCTCAAGGTAGTAGGTGTTTAGACTCTGTCTCTTTCTTTGGTCTTCATAGCCTTAGGACTCCAAGCTGCTAAGCAGAGTAGAATGCCATCCACTACCTGAGTCTCAGGTGAGAAATCAAGGGGACATAGACTCACTCACACAATCTTTGTCTGGGGAGATGCCCAACCCCCTCCCAACCCCAAACAAAGCCTCTAGCTGCTGTTTTTCATGCCATTTATTGGTCTCTAAGGGTGAAACACAACAATGGGATATGAGATACATAGAAATATATATTATTTTTTCATAAGTTATGTGGCTCTTAACTTATTGCCTCCCTTCCTCTTTCTGCCTACAACATCAATACTCTACACTGTCTTTGTGGACCGCACCTGTCCTAGCCACTGTACCTCATGGACTGAACTCTCCTAGGACAATACCCTCTCCTCTGCCTGGTGGGGTGAATAAAGTGTGCTAAACATCCTCCAAGAATGGAGACGTGTCAGTTTCTATGTTCCCTCTAGTATTGGCCAGTGGAGTAGAAGGACAATGAGGGAGCCAAGACTGGACCTTAGATCTATCTGATATAAGCCAGGTACTAATTCCCAGTTGGGAATAGTCCAGGAAATTTTACCTTTGATCCCTACACTATTAATTTTCATTGTTTTCTAAACATTTTTGATCTCCAAGCCACCAACTCAAGGCACTCAGAGAAGGACCAAAGGAATCACATAAATCTTCCTGGTCCCTAAGCCTACTTGGATTCCTCAGTTTGGATACCCGCTGAAGACAAACCCAATGACTTGTCTCCCTTGTTCTATCACTGCCATCACCATTAGGTGCATGATTCTAGGATTTATTACCTCTTTCCCTTTGTAGACCTTCTATCCACACAGTCCACACCACAAGAGGTAATTTGCTAGGGTTTATTTAGAAGGGATGAGAGACAGTGTGGTACAGTGAATGGTGTTGGAAATGAAGTCATGCAGACCTGGATTTAACCTCCCGCCTCTGATGCTTTCAAGTTGTTCAACCCAGAGCAAGCCACTTCACCTCAAAGGGAACTCCTAGTACCCCTCTACTAACATAGTCATAATAGGATGTGATCTGCTTGGTGGAAGGCATTCCCACACTGATGGATCCCAAATCATTTCTATCCTTGAGGACAGAAAGGGACAAAAGAAACAAGAATATACAAATTCTGCTTACCAGGGTCAGGTTAACAGGAAGTGGGAATGAAGGAAAACTCCATTGTCGCAGGATGGAATTGGGTCAAATGAGCTCACAGCTCTCTCTAGGCTAGGTACACCTGGCTGCCTCATAGCCACAGAAAAGAATAGTGCTTTCCACCCGGGACAACCTCATGCTGATTTTAAATTTGCCCATTTGGGATCAAGCTCAATGGTTCTATTATCCCTGGGCTCATTGTCATCAAATGGAATTGGGGGTAGGGGAGTATCCTGGCCACATTCCTGCAGCGTCACATATCAATCCTTCCTTCCATCATTCATTCCCCACCACTGATGAAAAGGCAGGAATCTGTAAACTGCACTATGGTGGAGCAGGAAGATTTCATTTGAAGTCAGAAGACCTGGCTTTGCCCAAATCATATCTTTGCTCTTTATTACCTGTGTGACCTTAGACAAAGGTCCTCAGTTTCCTCTTCAGAAAAGCAAAGGGCTTGGACTAGACAGATATGAATCTCCTTTCCTCTTCTGATAGTCTGTGATCCTGTGAACACACATATTGAAGGCTGATATGATCCGCACACAGAATGAAGGTGGCCACCATTACAAAAACAGAAAGCCCTACTGGGACATAACTATCCATTTCAAAATCATTTGTTTTTGTAAATATTAATATTGATAATAGCTAGTAAGAACTCAAAACAAAAAAAGAAGGTAGCACTGGCAGCTAAACCCCAGACCAGCCTAGACCAGTCTTCTATGAAATTTTCCTCACTCTCAAAGAGGTCTGACAATTCCACTAGGGGCGGTTTCTCTAATCACAGAATCTCAAAATTGGAGGAGACTTCAGAGGATATCTGTAGTTCAATCCCTACCTGAAAGATGCATCCACTCCACAGCCAGTGTGCAGTTTTTCCAGCTAGGGGCTAGGGAAGTCACGGGGACTGGTCCCAATTTCAATGAGACAGTCCTCCATGAGCATACAATGCCTTCTGTTCTGTTGTTACCCCATATGTGGGGTCACATGTCCTGAAAGGACAATCTATTAACTTGATCTATGCTATTATTTCCAACAGTTCTACATGAGTTGCCATGTGAAAGTCTATACAAAGAATCCCCCAAATTATCACATCTCTATTTTCCAAATATTCCCACCCACCTATTGCAGTTAGGGTGTACTGAGCACTTCTATGTTCCCAGTGCAAATAAATTTAAGCTATAGTGCCTGCCTTCAAAGAGCTTATGATCTTTTGGGGAACTAATAATAATAACTCGCACACAACACGTTTCATAGTTTGCAAACATTATTTCATTTATGCTTCACAATGACCCTGTGCTAGGTACTACAGGTATTATTCTTCCCATTTTACAGATGAGGAAATTGGGACTCAAGTTTTTCACTCATAGTCACAAAGCTAGATATCAAGGGTGGGGTTTGAACCTAGGTCTTCCTGGCTCTGAGCCTGATGCTCATTCCCACCCTAACATACATGGGATAATTAGAAAACAAAGCAAAGCAGAATACAGGCATACCTCATTTTATTTCACTCCATTTTATTGCACTTTGCAGATATTGCATTATTTTTTTTTACAAATTGAAGGTTTGTGGCAACCCTGTGTTAAGCAAGCCTATTGACACCATTTTCCCAACAGTATGTGCTCACATCATGTCTCTGTGTCACATTTGGATAATTCTTGCAGTATTTCAAACTTTTTCATTATTATTGTACCTGTTATGGTGAGCTGTGATCAATGATCTTTGATATTACTGTTGTAGTTGCTTTGGGGAGCCACAAAACATACCCATATATGAACTTGATTGATAAACATTGTGTGTATTCTGACTGCTCTACCAACCAGCCATCCTCTCTCTTCTTGGACCTCTCTCTTCCCTGAGACATGGCAATATTGAAATTAGGCCAATTAATAACCCTACAATGGCCTCTAAGTGTTCAAATGAAAGGAAGTCAATCAATTCACACACTTCATTGTTGTCTTATTTTAAGAAATTGCCGTAGCCACCCCAGCCTTCAACCACCACTACCCTGCTCAGTCAGAGGCCATCAACATGGAGGCAAGACCCTTCACCACAAAAGATTACAACTCACTGAAGGTTCAGATGATGGTTAGCATTTTTTAACGATAAATTACTTTTAATTAAGATACTTACATTTTTAGACATAACATTATTTCATACTTAATAGACTACAGCATAGTATAAACATAACTTTCAGATGCATGGGGAAACCAAAATATTTCTGTGATTCACTTTATTGCAGTGGTCTGGAACTGAATCCCCATTATCTCCAAGGTACGCCTGTGTAGCCAAGGGCAAAAACAAGTGGTGTATGAGAATCCTGACAAAAGACATGGGTGGGTGCTTATTATCACTCTCTGGCTCAAAGCTGTCACAGAATCTCAGAGTTGCAAAGCTCCTCACAGGCACCTAATCCATCCAGAAACTGAACAAGATTCTCCTTCTACAACCTTCCTCCTATGTGGCCATCAACCTTTGTCATTAAGAGCTCTGCTCTCCACCTACAAGAGACAGCCCATCTCACTTAGATTATTCCCATTCATTTCACCCACTCCCTCGACCTCCTCGAGCTGGAATGGCCCATAAGTTAGCCCAGTTTTGTTCTGTTTGTACATGTTTTTGTTAGACTCCAGTCTTGCCTCCCAACCAGACTGTCAGCTCCTGGAGTGCAAGGCTGTCCAAAGGAGCAGTGTGCTGAGGAAGAAAGCCCAGAGAATGTGGGGTAGGGAGGCCAGGCTTGAAATCCTGGCTGTGTGACCTTAGTCAAGCCACTTTTCCTCTATGACCTGCTGCCTTATCTATAAAATGGGGATAATAATAGTCATACTACCTACCTATCTCACAGGCTTTGTGAGATCAAGTGAGATAACATATGTAAAGCACATTGTAAACCTTAGTACTCTATAGATATGTAAGCTACAATATGACTTCTAGTGTATTCTTGACAGTGCTGGGCACACTGCTTGCTGCAAACACACTTTTACTGTTCTTCCTACATTCATTCATTCAACAGCCACACTGTGAGCACCTCTTCTTTGTCAAGATAATCCCTACCTATCTTTCAAGACCCACTTCAAGAATTTCCTGTGGTGTTCAACAATTCAATAGTCTGCCTTTTGTGGTAGTGAGCTCCCCATCACTGGAAGTGCATCTTTGTATAGTGTTCATTGTTACTCAGTTATGTCCAATTCTTCATGACTACATGGATCATAGCATGCCAATATCAACCATGGGTTTTCCTTGACAAATACTGTAGTGGTTTGCTCTAGGAACAGACAGCTTCCTCCAACAACTCCTCCTTTTCAAAGGGAAAAGGCTTTGAGCCCATAAGGCTCCTCCTTCTGACTCCCACTCCCCAGGTTAGGAGAGATTTCTTTTTCTACCTTAAAGCATTCGCTTCATTTCCTCATTGAGGGGGTGAGTGAAGAGAATTCCCAATGACCCACTTGCTCAAGAATGAGTCCTTTTAATGAAAGATCAGGTAGCAGAAAGCTTGGATTCCTGGGTTTAAAGCAATAACAACAACAAAAATGTCTTCTGTTGTATAAGGAGTAAGGCTTATACAGCTTTCTGGTCCCTTAGGATCAAAGTATTACTAGATTTAGAGCTGTAAGGTCACCTATCCCAAACCCCTCATTGCACAGATGAGGAAACTGAGACCCAGAGATTTACTTGCTCAAAGTCATACAATTAGTAGTAAAAGAGTTGTGCTCTGAACCCAGATTTTCTGACTCCAAATCCAACATAATTTATCACACTGAATATCATTTGTCCAGCCAGCTGATGGATATTCAGTTGGTTTTCCAGTTTTTGTTTCTAGATATCGGTTTTAGGGGTTTTTTTTGGGGGGGGGGGAATAAAAATTCAAAAAAAGACAAATACTATAGTGTTTTGCCATTTTCTTCTCTAGTAGAGTAAGGCAAACAGAAGTTAAGTGACTTGCCCAGGGTCACACAGCTAGTAAGTGTCTGAGGCCGGATTTAAATTCAGGTCTCTCTGACTCCAGGACCAGCACTCTATCTACTGAGTCATCCAGCTATCTCTCTGCATAGGTGCTAGGCACCTATATTTGTTGAATAATAACAGTAACTAACATTTATCTAGCCTTTACTATATTCCAGGCATTGTGCTAAGCAGTTTTCAATTATTATCTCAACTGATCCTCATTTTGCAGTTGAGGAAACTGAAGAAGAAAAAGGTTAAGTGACTTGCCCAGGGTCGCACAGCTAGTAAGCATCTGAGACTAGATTTGAACTCAAGTCTTCCTG